GCCCCGAGGTCCTTGGCCTGACCCCGGCTTCGGCCGCGCGGCGAATCTGCTCGCGCTGTTGTGCCCAACTCATTTCTTTTCTTCTTTCTGGTCAGGCAAAAAAAAATCGTCCGAGCAAATTCCGGGTCCGTGCGGCTGCTGTAAGCTACCCGCCTCCCTTTCTTCTAGCGGTCAGCCAAAGGGGCACTCGACCTTGGCCGGCTCGCTTTCCTGCAGCTGCAGGTCGGTGACCTCCAACAGCAGGCCGCACTGGGGGTTCATCACCCAGACCTGGCGCAGCTCGAAGTGCACCCTGGCGCTGCGGCCCGCGAGGTCGCCCGGCAACTGCAGCGGATATCCTTCCGTGTCCCAGAAGCGCACCCTGTCCCAGTTGAGCTTGGCCTTCAGGAAGGCGGTGCCCCGCTGGCTGGTCTTGAGGCACGATTGCAGCCGCGCCTCCACCTCCGCAATCGACAGGCTGCGGCCGAAGACTTTGGGGTCGCTGCCCGACTTGGCCACGAGCTTGGACGCCAGCTCCTTTTCCAGGGCCTTGAAGTGCTGCTCGACGGACTCGTCTGGCTCGAAGCAGACGTTCACGCGGCGGGCGTCGGCGTCGCCGAAGGCGGTGGGGTGCCACAGGACGCGCAGCCCGTCCGCCGCCTTGACCGGCAGGCACTTGCCTCCCTTCGCGTTCGTGAGCAGCTCGCCCAGCTCGAAGCTCTGCCTTGATGCCATTTTGCACTTCTTTTACCCTTCCATAAAAGCCATGGACTCGTCCGACCAAGACCCCCGGCGCCCGCTGCCGCCCATGACCCTGCATGAGTGCATCATGTGCAACCTCGAGCTGGCCTGCCTGGGCTGGGAGGTCGTTTCCGTGGACGTCCATCCCAAGTTCGAGCCCACCGTCTGCTGGGGCACTTTGACATGGTCTGGGCCAGCCCTGTGTGCACCGAGTACTTGCAGGCGCTGCGGAAACCTGCGGCCGCGGTCGTGGGCCTTGGAGAACCCGCAGACGGGGCTGCTGAAAACTCGGCCCTTCATGCAGGGGCTGCCCTTCTCGGACGTCTGCTACTGCAAGTACGGGTACCGGTACCGGAAGGCGACAAGGATCTGGCACAACCTGCCTTGGCGGCCCTCAGAGGCCATGCATGTGCCTCAAAGGCAGCCGCTGCGCCGCCTTCGCGGACGGCAGCACAGCGGGGAGGACCGCAGGCCGCCGCGGCCAGCAGAGCCAGAGGCAGCTCTACAGCATGCCCCCGCGGCTCTGCGACGAGCTGGCCGCGGCTGTCAGCGGCTGATCGGGAGGTGTAAAGAATGGGCAAGGTGAAAAGGTGCAGCAGCCCCGGTGGTGCCCAGGCTGCCGGCGAACGGCGTGCTGGTGGGTCCAAGTCGCACAGGCAAGACCGTGCTCCTCGTGTCCATGATCTTGGAGCAGTACAGAGGCTGCTATTCCTGCATCTACATCATGTCACCTTCCGTGGACATAGATTCGGCCTGGGACCCCGTGAAGGACTACATTCGCGAGGAGCTGGGCGTCGACACAGACCGTGAGCAGGCTTGGTGGACCGAGTGGGACGAGGACGCGCTGCGCCGCATCATGGAGCAGCAGAAGCGGATCACACAGCAGTCCAAGCGCCTGGGCATGAAGAAGCTGTACCAAGTTTTGCTGGTACTCGACGACGTAGCGGACGCCAAGGGGGTCCACAACAGGACCGGGGATGGCATGCTGGACAAATTGTACATCAGAGGCCGCCATTACATGATTTCAACGTGGACCAGCGCCCAAAAGCTGCGACTGATGAGCTCCGCCGTGCGGGTGAACATCATGTTCGCCTGCGTCTTCCGTCTGCGGAACCGCCTGGAGCTGGAAGCTCTGGTGGAAGAATTGAGCGCGCTCGTAGACAAGGAGACACTTTACGGGATGTATGAGTAATCCACCAGTACTCTTTCTGGTACGTCAACCTGCTGGCGCCAAGGGAGGAAGCCTTCTGGGTGCGCTTCGAGCGGAAATTCGTGCTGGACGGTGCCGCGGAGCCCGCGGAGCCCATGGAGCCCCAGCAGCCGGTAAATGGGCGGCTTCCTGTCAGCGGCGGCCAGCAAGCTGGCGGGCCGATCATCGAAAGCGAGTGCAGCAACATTAGGTGCTGCAGCAGCAGTCAGCCCAATGTCTACGACCCGCGCCTGGCCACCACGGCCAGCGGGCTCTCCCGAACGCCGTTCCGGTTTAGGAGAAACAAGCCCGCCATGAGCACCATCTACGTGGACACGGGCTCCGACAGCAACTTTACCTTCGAGCTTCCGGAGACGCTGCACATGCAGACCAGCGCCAAGCTGGCAGTGTACAAGGCGCGCATCCAAAGTTGCTGGCGCCCCCCTGAATCCATCCTGGTCACGCTTGATGCTGGGCTGCGCTCCATTTCCAGCTTCACAAACAAGGCCCGCAACAACAGCTGCCAAAAAGCTGCTAATCCTCATAGACACAGTCAAGGGAGCTGCAGAGTAGGGGATGAAGGAGAAAGGGAGGCTGAAAGGAAAAGAAACGGCCTACCAATTAATTGGTCTGAAAGTCTTCCCTATCTTACACACTGCAAATCCCCATAGACACGGCCCCAAAGAAGGCCTCCGAACAACAGCCGCCAAAAGCTGCAAATCCTCCTAGACCAGGTCAACCGAGTTGTGGAGCGGGGGTTGAAGGAGAGAGCAGGGGCAGAAAGGGAGAGAAACGGCCAACAAATCAATTGGTCTGAAGGTCTTCTCTATCTTACACACTGCAAATCCCCGTAGACACGGCTCCCCAAACAACCCATAACAACAGCTGCCACAAGCTGCGGAGTAGGGGATGAAGGAGAAAGGGAAGCAGAAAGGAGGAGAAACGGCCAACCAAATAATTGGTCTGAAAGTCTTCCGTAAGATAGAGATCGGCCACCAACTCAACCGCTCTCTGCCTTTGGTGCTTCTCTGCCGCTGTAGTGGAATCACGGCAGTCGTCACGTCGATCGTGTAGTCGCCAGTGCGCTCTCCTTAGAACTGCCGACGAATCCAAGAAAAAACAGGACCTTGGTTGTGTTGATCAATGACGGAACGCAAATGCGAAGGTATGATCCTGGTCAACTGCAACAGTTTGTTGAGCCAACATGTTTGAATCGCAGCTCACTCGAAACATGCATGTGAGAGGAAGGCGTAGTGTGGCTGCCACCTAGATTTCGGCATATGATCAATGAACCTGCCTGGGCGTAATCCGGGACATGGTGCTGACCTTTGTGCTCACAAAGGACCCCGAAAGGCACTTGCAAGTGACAAGGTCTTCTCTGCCACAGTAGTCCCACTTCGCACCGATGGTGTTTAGCAGCGCGTCGCCAGCTCCAAACTCCAACTTTTGGTAGAGCAGTTTCCGACACGAAAGACCTGAAGAAAAACTCGCAACAAGTTACGCAAACCCTGAAAGCGCCTCTTGCTTGGTCAACTTCTCAATGTCTGCACATCTGCAGCCAGTCTTCCTTCCGTGGACATTGCAGGGAGACTGCACCCAGCCGTCCTTGTCAAGCTTCTGCGGCCTGCAAAAGCCAGGGCTAGGAACCCTAAACCAACAGCGTAAGCCCTCTGACACAGCTCGGCCCTCTCGGCGGCCTCCAAGCCAGGAACCTTCGCTGTGGAAGCTTGCACAAGGGGCCGATCTTAAGAGCAAACTCAAACCAAACTCAGAACCAGCTGCGCCTTCAGGTTTGTCCAGGATCTCTGCGGCCTTCGCCGGCGATTCCTGCACGCGGAGGCACGTACCACAAACGAAGAACCAAGAACTCAGTGACGAGGTCCTGCCGGTACGCTTCGCCATGGTCCTATGGACAACTGCGAGGCCTGCCTATCGTACTTGAAGTTCCAGGAAGCTTTATCCGACAGGGTCCGCTGTCTGTTTCGCATGGTGTTTCATCATGGTCTCCTCTGGACGTCTGTGCACCTATCCTTTTGAACCAAAGCAGCGCAGCAAGGTCGCAGCCAAAATGAGGACCACAAACACTTGTCAAAGCATACCCGAGCGAGCAACAACACACCTGCAAGCGCACATCAATGCGCCACATGTCCCAACGCTTCAATGAACAACTAACAGCATCGGCAAGGCAGTGGTCAGGGTTGCACAACGTCATGACAGCAGCACAGCGGTGGAGAGAGGCATGAGCACAGCAAAGTCTGGAAATCGACACAGACTAGCAAATGCCAGGGCGGTCTTTTTCGCCTTGCGCGAAAGAAACATGAACCGGAACTACTGCTGGATCCGACATGTCAAGCTTCTAGCAGCACTGCTGAATGCCCTGCCGCTGTAAATTCCGTAGTATTCTGCGAACTGACCCTCGGACACAAATATCAAGTTCTGGCCAGCTGGAGTGTCAGTTTTGCTGTTTCGCAGCACCACGAAGATGTCATCTTCAGCACAGGCTTTCGCACGCTCAGCCTCTAGGTGACAAGCTGACTGCCCATGCTTCATCTGCAAGCACTCTGCAATCAGCTCGCCAGCCTCGGTCTGCAAGCGAAGGACCGCATCTGCAGCAGGTGCACCCTTCGCATTCAGAACCAGAACATCAGTCCGAGTCAAACTGACCGTGGCGACTTTGGTCTCCTTGCCATCGACTTCGCACTCATGCTTGTTGAGATGGCTTGCGGGCTTTGTCGCTGCTGAGTCTTTGAGGGGCTTGGGGTTGCCGCAGACATGTGAAGCCGTTGCTATGCGATGCTTTGCCTTGAAGCGCTTCAGATGGTGATTGATGACCATCTTCTCCGCTAAGGTACCTGGCTGTATGATTGCACCGCTGTGCAAAGAGCGTACTGGCACTGCTTCCTTTTCTTCGAAAGCCCAAGACCGCAACACTCTAAAGGCTGCGTTGAACTCCTCCCATTCTGTGCCATCTTGCGGCGGATCCCTCAGAAACTGGTCGTAGTCCATCAGGCCCCATGGGGCCAGATCTTCAGAATGTGATGCCACTGCTGTGAGCATCATGTGCAGCCATATGTACGGAACTTCAATGCGGTACTGAGTGCCGGCATCATTGTACCACAAACGAATCAAGTCTGCCTTCTGAGCATCGACGTTCCCAAGTTTGTCACCGCTGCGAACCAATTTGCCTGACAGCGCCGTGCGAAGAATTGCTTTGATAGAGCCATCGTCGAAGGTTTTCGAGTCCGACCGGCCAAGGATGCCGGCGTTGGGGTACTTCTGTGTCAGTTGAAACATGACTGCCCCAATCACAGCCGCAGCGCTTCCATCTCCAATGTTCGCCGGCTGCAGTGCCTGCACCAGAGCCTCTAAAGCTCGGCCGTGACCTCCCATGTCTCGCACCAGCAAGTCCTTGAGGGGATGAGGCGGAACTTTATCCTCGCCATTTTCCTCCACCCGGGTCACACGAGGGAGTGTTAAGCGGTAGCGCCGCTGGGGCGACGATGCCAGGCCGTGATCCAGAGTTTGAGTGGCAGCAGTGCATCCTACCACCAGCGGAGAGGCCATTTGGTTGACAAGCCGGCACACTTCTAGCATGACCTCATAGAACGGTTTCACCTTACCTGCCTCCTTAGCACGTAGGTCGAAGCCTTCGAGGCCCTGCATGCCGTCCACTCCCAGAACGACGATAGCGGTTTCCATTGCGTCCCGTAGCACGGCTTGCAACACATCGTCTGGCACCAGATGGTGGGGGCACTGAGCACGGAAAGCAGCAAAGTTCTTCGGAGCTCCGGCTGCTTTGAATGCCGCCTGGTTGGCCGCCCGCAGCTGCCACAGCATGCGGCAGGCAACGAAGCGTCCAGCATTCAGCTCCTGAGTTGCCCAGTTTCCAGGTGAGGTGCCATTCTCACAGGTGATCAAGAAGGCCAGGGTCTTCTGGTACTTCGGCACCTGTTCGGTGTTGAGCTTCACGCGACACTCCTCGATCATGGTGGGGAGCTCTGAGAGGAAGCGGGATTTGCCCTGTCCTGGGCTGGCAAATGTTATTAGCAGCGGGTGGTTCTGCTTGTCTGCATCCGCACCTTTGCGCTCACAAAGGACCCCGAAAGGCACTTGCAAGTCCCTGACAAGGTCTTCTCTGCCACAGTAGTCCCACTTCGCACCGATGGTGTTTAGCAGCGCGTCGCCAGCTCCAAACTCCAACTTTTGGTCGAGCAGTTTCTGACACCAGTCCTTCAAACAGACAATGCACAAGCACGAGCATGTTGCTGTCAGCTCTGCCCCCCCACAATCCCTTTGCGCTGCCCTGCCGTCCCCCCGGAGCGCTGCAAACCCAAACGATAACAAAGGCAAAACAGCTTTGAAGTCCCCGGCCTGGGCGGTGCTAGAGCTTGCTTTCGCTTCAGACTCGGACTTGGCCTTCTTGACCTCCTCCTTGGCCTCCTTGACCTTCTGCTCGGCCTCCTTGACCTCCTCCTTGGCCTCCTTGACCTCCTCCTTGGCCTCCTTGACCTTCTGCTCGGCCTCCTTGACCTTCTTCGTATCGCCCACTTGCTCCGCGTCCTCCAACTTGGCATTTGCTCTGTCCAAGTTCTTCACAGCCATGTCCACCTGTGCCTGTGCAGTCTCTTGCTGGGCCAACGCAAGTGCCAGCTGCCGTTGCACCACGGATGCATCATCCTGCAACATCCAATAAGAAAACAAGCTTCTCATGCTGCGTGCAGATCTGAGTTTGTAAACTTTCACGAACAGCCGGCCTTGTATGAAGATCCTTCAGCCTGCAAAATCCAAGGGCAGCTCAAACCAACAAAAGCGTGAGCCCTCTGACGCACCTCAACCTTCTCGGTGTTTTTGCTCTTGCCAGGAGCCTTCGCTGTGGAAGCTTGCGAAACGGACCGATCTTAAGCAAACCCTCAACTGACTAGCGTCACAACACAGGCCCCAAAGCACCTCGGCAACCCTAATTTTTAACAACTTGCGCAAATGGAAGTCTGGCTCACTTCCTTAGGCTGCAGACCGACAAGCAAGCTGAACCCAAGCTCAGAACCAGCTGTGCCTTCTCTGCAGGTGTGTCCAGGATCTTTGCGGCCTTCGCCGGCGATTCCTGCACACGGAGGCACGTACCGCAAATGAAGAACCAAGAACTCAGTGACGAGGTCCTCTTCCTGTTCTACAGGGGCTGCCGTACGCTTCGCCATGGTGCTATGGACAATTGCGGGGCCTGCCTATAGTACTTGAAGTTCCAGGAGTCTTTGTCCGACAGAGTCCGCTTTCTGCTTCGCATGACGTTTCAGCATAGTCTACTCTGGACGTCTGTGACACCTATGCTTTTGAACCAAAACAATCTCGGCTAGCTCGGCTGCACTCACTATCGGCTCGGTGTCACTGAACGACATCCAAATAGTTTAGGGCCCCCAGCACCTTCAGTAACCCACACACCCCCCTCCCCGGACCTCACAGGCCCCTTGCCCGATACCTCACAGCCCACAGCACCCGTCCTGCTTTCTTGCTGGTCCTTGTGCTGCATCCAAGTCGTTCCTCCCAAGTCATTTCCTTTCTCCAAACGCCTCACCCTCAGCACGGGCAACCCCACACCACGCACCCCCCACTCTCCCGGTTCTCAACTATAGCCTTCCCATCCCCTACCCCTTGCACCAAGCACTCCCCCAACCCGTACCAGATACAGAGATTCAGAAGGCTCCAGCACTTTTTTAGCTTTTTCACCCAAAATAACACGCGAACTTTCGAAGAAAACAACAAAAGGCATGTCTTTGAGGGCTCCCCAACCCGGGCATCTTTGCCGACAGCAGCCAACGGCCGGCTCCTTGCAGGCGGGCACTGTGGAGCCCCTGCTGCCCACTGACCAGTTCCTGAACCTGAAGGCGGGCACTGTCTCGGTGACCAGGCGGACCAGAGCCTCTGCACCTTCACCGTGGCCCCGAGGCTGCGCGTGGACACGGAGCTCTGCACAGTCTCCACACGCGTTCATACCGGCACCATCGTGAACGGGGCCTTGGACGTGCAAAGCACCCTGACGGGTGGCTCCGCCGAGCTCTCCACGGAGCTGCGCATCCTCAGGGCGCGGCCCGCGGACGACTACCTCACCATCACAGGCGGCGCGCAGGGCACCTACCTGAACAGCGTGCTGTGGACCGCCAGCGCCATCCGCGCCGACAACGGCATCGTGAGCGCTCCAGCGTACCTGCAGCTGATCGGCGGCTCCACGGGCGTGCAGGCGCAGGGGGACCTCGCCCGCGGGCAACGTGCGGCTGCGCGTGGCCTGCGGCTCCGCGAGGGCCTGCTGACGGCCTCCTCCGCGGGCGGCGTGGAGCTCTTCGCGCCGAACCAGGCCATCTTCCTGCGCACCTCCTCGGCCAACGACGGCGAGGTGATCGTAAATTTCGGGTTCCAGAACCTGTCGGACCCGAAGCTCAAGAAGGACGTGGAGCCGGCGGGGCTCGAGGAGCTGCAGGAGGTCTTCGACGCGGTGACGCGGCAGTGGTACCGGCGCACGGAGGGCAACCAAAAGCGCACGCTGGGCTTCATCGTGCAGGACGTGCAGGACGGGCGCGGCGGGCAAGGCGCTGTGCGGGCAGGTCGCGGACGAGGAGCTGGGCGACCTGGTGACGCTCGACTACTCCAGGCTGGCCTGCGTGCTCTGGGGCGTGTGCAAAAAGCTGCAGGCGCGGGTCGAGGCACTGGAGAAGAAGGGAGAAAAGCGAGGCCGCTCGTGAAAGAAGAATGGCAGAGGATGGGGCGATCGCGCTCTTCCGCGATCTGGCAGACCGCTTCAACGTGCGGGACCCCCGGAAGCTCCACCAGATAGCCCGGCGCGATCACCCAGAGCGGCGCGACCTCACGGCAGCGCGGGCTCGAGTGGCGCTGCAGGGTGACGTGGCCCGGCAGGCGCTGGCCCCGAAGCCCCGGTCTCTGGGCAAGAGCGCGGCCGAGGGGCCCAACGACCGGCTGCAGGCAGACCTGGTGGATTTCTCACAGAACACACGTGGGCGGAACAAGTACGGGCTCGTCGTCACGGACGTGTTTACAAGGGAGGTGGCCACCAAGGCGCTGCCCGACAAGCGGGCGGAGACGGTGACGCAAGCAGCCGCGGAGATCATCCCAGACCTCGTGCAGCAGGAGGGCAACTATGTCGTGACGACGGATCAAGGCAACGAGTTTCGGGGCTTGGAGGGAGTTTTGTGAGAGGGGGTGGTGCACCGGCAAAAGGACCCGAGCGATCGCAATGCGACGGCAGTCATCGACCGGGCCCATACAGACCCTCAAGAAAGATCTGGCAGGCAAGGTGGCTCGGGACGGCGGCGGCTGGGGCGAGCACGTCGAGAACGTGACGCAGGCCTACAATGCCCGGCCCCACGAGACCGTGCACGCTGCTCCCGAGGACGTGGAGCAGCAGCCGGCGACGCAGTTCCGCGTGCTTCAGGACAACGCCACGAAGTTCCAGCACAACAAGAAGCTCACAACAAACCGCCAGCGACGGCAGGAGGCCGCAGGGGCCTTCCGGGCACCGACAAACGCGGCAAGGAGCTTCCAGCCTCAATACGGGCCCGCCAGAGACCTGGCCTCCTACGACTCGATGACCGTTCGAGCCACGGACGGTTCAGAAAGTTTGCTGAAGCACGCATTGCCCGTGTTCCGAGGCAGCGCCGAGCCTAAGGCCCGACTCACGAGGCCGCCCGTGCCTCTGGCCGTGCGGCAGCTTCGAGACTTCAACCCCGGCCCAGTTGCCCCGCCGTGACCCTTATGATAAAAAATGCTCTCGGCTGCGTGCGAGGCGGTGATGCACTCGCCGTCCGAAGACAACGTGGTTCGCATGCTCGACCTGTGGTCGCCGGAATGGAAGCATCGCGGCCGCCAACGAGCCATCGGCTCCGGATCGTATGAACAATACTGCACCCTCGGTCTCTTCGCCTTTGGAGGCAATGAACCAGGCCTCTCGAAAGCTTCCGTGAACAAAGAAGCTTGCGTGGCTCTCAACCACTTCCTTCGAACCCGCTTTCCCAGCGCCACCTGGACTTCCATCGCAGTGGTGCTGAATCCCCACATTGGCTTACATCGAGACATCCTCAACATGATTGGCACACCGAATCACGCAATCGCTCTTGGATGCTTCACAGGAGGAAGAATCTGGGTTGAAGACGACGAAGGCACATCGCCAGAGGTGCGAGTCATGAAACACAAAACTCATCAGCTCTGGGGCTCGTGGATCGACATGCATGACAAGCCAGTGTCTTTCAACGCCCGTCGCTTTCACAAGGTCGAGCCACACGAAGGCCGCATGTGGGCGCTTGCAGCATATACCCCGCGAGCGTTCAAGCGATGTTCGCAGGAAACCATTGACGCAGCAGTCTCGCTGGGCTTTCCCATTGATGATGCGCCTCACACCCGTGCAGCCGCAACCTCTGCTTTCGAAAAACCGTCTTAGAATGCCAGCTCACTGCGCCCCGCTCATCTGCGCGCCTAGTGCAGGTCGCCCGGGCCTGAGGCATTCGTGCCCGCCGATGCCCGCCCGCCGATGCCCATCCACCCACCGCCGAGGCTCATCCACCGGCCGGCTGACGGCCCGCTGATGCTCGTCCGCCCGCCTGCTAATGCTCGTCCCCCCGCTGATGCTCATGATGCCCATCCGCCCGCCTGCTAATGCTCATGATGCCCATCCGCCCGCCTGCTGATGCTCATGATGCCCATCCGCCCGCCCGCTGAGTCCACCCGCCCACCCGCTGATGCCCATCTGCCGCGCCGCCCGAATGCTCATCATGCTCATCCACCCATCCTTTGAGGTCCACCCGCTCCTGATGCTCATGATGCTCAGCCAGCGCGCTGAGGTCGAGCGTCCGCCCGGGCTCTCATCTGCGGGAGGTTTTGGGGCTCTCATCTGCTGCGGGGAGGTTTTGGGGGCTCTCATCTACTGCGGGGAGGTTTTGGGGGCTCTTATCTGCTGCGGGAAGTTTTTGGGGCTCATCTGCTGCGGGCAGTTTTGGGGGCTCTCATCCATGCGCCCGCCCGCCGATGCTCCGCCGGCCCGGCTGATGGCCCGCTGAGGGCTCGCACGGCTCCGCTCAAGCGCGCGCCTCCGCAGGCCGCCCGGGCCCGGCGACTGCTCGCCCGCCGATACTCATCCCGCCTCGCTCATCCCGCTCCGCTGATGCTCATCCACCGCCCCGCTGCTTGTCCACAGTCCGCTCTTGCGCGTCTTTTTTCCTGGCTTCCTCACTCCCGTCATTCTTGTCATTCTTGTCGAAGGTGACGGAGGGATGCGCGGGACCTTCTACAAAAATTCCAGACTCATTCCTGTTATTGTTGTCATTCCTGTCATTCCGAGCCGATGACGTGTTTCATGCCGAAGGTGACCGGAGAGATAACCGACTGTGCCAAAAAACACTTCTCACACTGTTGATGGAGGAAATCTTGCACCACCTTAAGTCCCTAAAGTCTTAGGAATTACAGTAGTTTAGGACCCCTAGGTGGTGCAAGATTTCATACATCAACAGTAGTATAGACTGTCTAACCCTTAAGCCTAAACTTACCATGCCTGAAGGATGGCTTCGTCACTGAAGCCTCGCGAGGCCCTGTAGCGAAAGATGCTTGAACTAGAAGGGTCTACCCTAGTTACTCATAATAATGGGCTACTTTGACCCAAAGTAGTAGAAACTTGGAGCAAAGTTGTCTATAATTCTGGACCCCAAACCCTAAACCCTAAATAGTAGTTTTCATTTTCTTGTCCATTACCCTTTTAACCCCAATATGGGGTTTCAGGTTTTATGATCTAGCCAGAGAAGCCTGTCATTCCTGCTGGCATTCTTGTCATTCCCGTCATTCCCGAGCCGGTGGCGTGTTTCATGAATTTTCGATGGCCCGCCCTGCATGCGTGTCAGCGGGCCCGCAAGTGCATGTTCGCCGGCTTCTGCGCGCGCCCTTTTTTCTGGTCCGTCACTCCGTCATTCTTGTTATTCTTGTTATTTCAGTCGCCTTCTGCTCGCCCGCTGCTGCTCATCCGACGCGTGCGTTTTCTGGGCTCCGTCATGGCCGTCATTTTTGTCATTTCTGTCAGGCCCGGGTGGCTGGACCGGCTCGGAATGATGACATGAATGACAGGAATGACGGGCTTGCGGGCCATCGAAAATTCATGAAACACGTCATCGGCTTGGAATGACAGAAATGACAAGAATGACAGGAATGATAGGCTTCTCTGAAGCGAAAATTCATGGAACACGCTCCGGCTCGGGAATGACGGGAATGACAGGAATGACAGGTTTCTCTGGAGTCCGGAATTTTCGTAGAAGGTCCCGCGCACAGTCAGACATCCTCTGGTCACCTTCGGCATCCTGCAGTCTCCTCGGGACTTCGGCTGTGTCGGAATGTAAGCCGTCCATAGCCAGCCTGAATGAAAGT